AAGCATTAACTGTTAAGCATTATAAATGAAGTGGAGACGACTGAACAAGCTGATGAGTTCTGGCTGTGCAGTGAGAGATGTTTTGTAATTAGTCATGGGGATGTTATGGAAGAAGTTTCATTTGGGTGAGGCTGAGAGTGGGCCACCTGTGTCTCTGCAGCTGGGAGAGGAGGTGTCTTGAGGTGACATTTCCCTGTGCAGGGCTGAAAAGGTTTTTTCACTTGTGGGTGGTTTGGACTAGTGAAATCTTGTGCAGGCAGGCAACAGTGCTGACTTCAGTGTGAGGATGGAGAGTACTCAGAGCAGTAACCATTCTTTTTGGTATTCCTGGTAAATTGGCAGGTACCTTGCTTTGAGAATTTGTAGGCTTGGGTTACTGAGAAGACTGGAGAGGATTTGATGGAAATATGGTCCTAGCCCCCCTCCTTTGTGGACAGTCCAGTTGGGGATTCTGCACCTTAAGAACAGACATTCAGTCTCAGCTGTGGGGTTTGGAGTTGGCTCCTGCTCTCTCCCTTCTTTTCTCTACTGCTTTCCTCATGCAAGAAGAAAAAGGTTGAATAAAAATGAGGGAAGCCTTCGCATTACCGGAGAGTGGGAGTGTTTAATCCAACTTAATGTGTAGAGAGCGAAACCAAAACTCAGATTCATTTCTACTCATATTTGACCTGTAGAGCTCCCAGCATAGTAAATCATTGACCTCAGGAAGGTTATTTACACAGAACAAACAACCAAACAAAGCCCCACATCTTTTAAGTGATCTTTATTTATACAGACTCATACCCTGCGTGTTGATAATGGGACTTAGCAAAGCAGCATCTCATTGTATTATACATAGTGTTTGTTACTCTTGAGTACTTCAGCTCGGATTGTCACGGTGGGAAGGAGTAGTGTGACGTAGTGCGGGTCACACAAGATTGATGAGGGCTCTTGTACAATAGATGGTGAAAGAGATGGTGAGAGTGATAGCTGTAGAACAGGAGGAAAAGCTCTGAAACTATACCTGTAAAATCCTAAAAAATAATAATAAAGAAAATACAGTGCAATTCATGTGTCTGCATGCAATCTCAGGGATTTAGCTCCCTTCATTCAGAGATCTTCTTGATATTCAGAGTGTTACACTAGCAAATGCTCTTGCAAAAATACAGTCACAAATGCAGCAGCCATTGCCCTGCAATACTTTAAGCCCTGCTTTGATTGTCAGACTTTAACCCTGTTGCATTTTGCTTTTGATAGCTGCTTTCAGTGATAATTTAGATAAGGTGGGTATTTGCTTACCTCATGTTGTCTCCTGTTTGAATCGCTGGAATAGCAGAATGTTTTGCCTTCCCCAGACTGTGCCCCACTGATAACCTGGGATGTGTCTACACGCAACCCTAGAGTCTAAGGGGTTTTATGATGGATAATTCAGTGCCAAAAGTCTAGAGGAGAGGATTTAACTGTGTTGTCTTGAAAGAAGAGGTATTTGTGACTGTTAATAAGGGTATGTGTTACAAAGCTCTGAATCTGGTGGGATTTACTCACCAAACTTCATGGGAAGAGAAGAGCATTTCTGCCAGCCTTACAGCTGAACGTGTCCCACTGAAGTCACTCAAGTCGTGATGCTGAGGCCATGGCCATGTCTCTGCCACACAGGTCCCCAGGCTGGCTCCAAGGCAGGGTGCTGGTGGCAGCGCTGCTTCAGGGACCGAAGCTGGTGGCTCTGTGTCCCCATGGTGGTGGTGGTGTCGCTCTGTAGCCTCTGGGCTGGGGCAGCTCATCCAATGCTGTCTCAGAAATTTCTTCACTGCACTTCTTTGCATGTTTACCTGTATCTTTCTCGGTCTGCTGGTAGTTCTGCATCTGAACCTCAAAGCCAAGAGCATGAGGGGGTCTGAACCAGTACCCCCTCAGGCAGAACATGGCAAGAGTAGATGGAAGAAAAAGTCTCTTTATTTCGGTCATTCATTTGTATAGAGTTAAATCATGCTCTGTGTGCTTCTTATGTTAACGCTCATTTAGAAATAGCAAATCTCTATTTAATCTGCATTTTTCTACCTTTGATTGTTTTGTTTCTTTTGCTCTGGCTTATGGGGATATCTGGAGAGTTTGTCATCCTCTAAAGCAGGCAAAAAATACATCGTGTGAAAGCAAATGACAAATTGCTTTTGTACTTCTTCATTGTATTTTTTCCCCTGTGGCTGCTTAGGTCGAATGTTAAAATTGCAAGTTCTTAGTGCATTAATTTGTATTTTCAAGATGCTTAGCACACCTCTTCAGAATCATAAATAATTATTGTGAAGTATGTGATGTGCTTGATGGTCTGTTATTGTAGTAACTAATAGCTGTGGTTTGGCAGACACTTCTGAGAGCAGTGGTGTTTGGGATTGTTTGACATTTCTTCACTTTTTCCTTAATCCAAAGATTCATTGTGTTCCAAGCATAAAGCATGGTTTTGCACCAAAAAAAAAAAAAGTTATATTAATAATCTGAGGAATGTTTGGGGGTACTTTTCCAGTGGCTGCTGCATTGCTTCGGAGGTATTTTTCTTTCCCTTGTTTAAGCAATCAACTTTAAGGTTTTCAGACAGTCCATTCCAACTGATTGAACTTTAAGCATGTAACTCTCCAAAGATCAAAAATTGCCTCAGGATATTTTTAATTTAATAAAGAAGCAAGCTGACTTCAGACTTACACAGACCGCATAAATCCAAACCCCCAGAATCTAATAAATCTAAAACTTTTTAATTAAAAGTGGAGATATCTTGATTTAAATAAAGCGGAGTCAGACGTGTCTTTCTGTCATATTTTTGGGGAATTGCCATTTAGCCCCATGAATAGCCATTTACAGTAAAAAGGAGGAAAGACTGAATAACTTGAGCCAGGGATAGCAGTCTTTTAATCTTCCAACTGTCTTGCTAGAGATATCTCTTCATAGAAAATATGACATCTCATCTGAGAACCTCCAGTGAGTATTTTGCAAAAAGTATAATGTAATTGACACCTTATAATCAATTAAATGCAGTTAAGAAGTTGCTTTAACCATTGCCAGTAAGTCTGTTAGCACCTTGAAGACAAGGTAGTGAATTTTGTCATCTTTTCTTAGTTATTGTTCCTGGGAGTTCACTATCCTTCATCTGCTCATTCTAGGAAGACTCTAACTTTAGAAATATCTCCAGCAGGATTTAAACTCATGCTGAATGACGTTGTGGAGTAGGGATGACTTGTTAAGTTGGAGGAATGAGCTAGAGATTGGAGGTCAGTTAGTTTTTGACTGTGGCAGGTCTTGGTCATTAATTGTAAATTGTGAGGTTATACTGATGAATAACACAGGAGTTCATAGCTGGTGGGTTTTTTCAGTAATCTTCTCCATTCCCAAATCCATGAAATCTTTTCTGTATTTTCTCATCCAGCCCTTTGAAGAACTTGGTCAGTGCTGATCCTACTCAGCCAGTTCAGGGTTTAAGGGAATACTGGAACTGATCCATGGTGAGCTGTGAGGGTTGGCATTGAAGTGTCACTCTCTCTGTGTTCATCCCTCAAGGGGAAATTCTGGTTACACAGAATTTGACAGCAGCATGTCAGGGCACCCCTTGGCCTGCACATGGGCCTTCAAAGGCCAAACCTGTGTTCCTGTGTTGGTCACCTCAAGCTGTCATTGTCCATTGCTGAACATCAGCACGTGGGTGCAAAGGATCCCATGTAACCTCCCCTATTGAGAAGTGCCTGATGGCGTACCTGCAGGTAGAAGGACGCACAAAGACAGGGGTGACAGGACTGAATGGTGACAAGGAGGTAAATGAGACTGAGTTTGGCCAGAAAGTAGTAACGATGAACTGTGGGAAGGAGGGGACACTGAGGCTGGGAGCGGTGAAGAGCTGGTCTCATCTTAGGGTAGAAGGTAGCACAGAAGTCACGTGAAGAAGGGCTGGAGAGCTGGTGGGCTGTGGGACAAAGCTGAGATGAATGAGAAGCGGGGGGAAAGAAATGGAACTTGATCTGGTCAGGCAAGACAGAGAAAACCAAGAGGAAGAGTGGGGTTTTTTTTACAAAGAAACTAAGCAGACTGGAAGATTGCTTGTTATATATTTCCTAACTTCCAGTAGCTTGACTGGAGATGAGGAGAGGGTTCTTCACTGTGAGGGTGGTGGAGCACTGGAACAGGTTGCCCAGGGAGGTGGTTGAGGCCCCATCCCTGGAGATATTCAAGGAGAGGCTCGACGAGGCCCTGGGCAACCTGGTCTAGTTGGGGGTGTCCCTGCTGACTGCGGGGAGGTCAGACTAGATGACCTTTGGAGGTCCCTTCCGGCCTGGGCAATTCTATGATTCTATAACTGCAACTTCACTTTCTAAGCTGAGCTTTGTGATGTGTGGATGCTACAGTTATATTACGTGCTTATTATGTATTATGCTATTATAGGTATCTCCAGTGTGTGTATGTGCATAATACATGCAGCAGTGTGCCAGGCTGCAGGGAGTTCCTAATGCAGACCCTGAGCGCAGGTCTTCTGTTTGTACTCCCTAGTAACTTTTTTGGTTGAAATTATTCTTTTGGGTAAAGACTGCAAGATGTGACCCATTGACCGACTGACACTTTGTGCTGACGTGAGACTCTGGAGAGTTGGCTGGTGTCCCCTGCCACGGCTGTGTTAATGTCACTGTGAGTTCATGGTAGCAGAGGACTCAGTCCAGTGCCCAAGAACCTGGCTGGCTGTTTTCGTATTGTGCTGGAAGCTTAAAGTTTTTTTGTTTCCCCTTGCTTTTTTCGCTCAGAAAGTAGCCAGATAACTGCCATTTTTGCTCAGAGTAAGGAATCAAGAATTCAATACGTGTGTTGGGGCTTACTGTGGAATACAGATATTTACAGCTACCACATAACAAAAGAGGAGATAATAATTTTGAGCAGACTCCTCATACAGAAACCATTGTTATTTTTACAATAAAAGCTTCTTCAAGCAATTAAGAACATGTTTTTTCTCAATTCTAGTATTTACGTTGTTAATGGCTTCTTTTCTTTTTCAGAACAATAAATCTAAACAGTCGTTTACTGCAGCAAGTAATAGAAAGAAAACATGAAGTGCTGTGCATCTTGAAAGAAAAGATAATAACGACTCAGAAGTGTACGATATCTGAACATATCCAGATAGAAGAAAAAATCAGCGGCGTGATTGGATGCGGTAGAAAAACAGTAAAGGTAAAAGCTATTAAAGATCTGCAAGGAGCAGAACATTTGCAGATTACCTAAGAAGAAATTATGATTTCTCCAAATAGACCTCAGAGTACTTTTTATGCGTCTTTAACATGTTGAACTCGCTGTACTGCTTAGCTGTGAGACTTCAGAAAGGTAAAAAGTTTTTTCCATTGCCTCACTGGCAGAAGATGTCATTTTTTATTGTGAGCCTGGAACACGGTTTCCATCAATACTGTCAAATTGTGATTCAGTTTCTATGTAGAATCCTTCCTACAACAGAACATAAAACAAAAACATAACAATTCAGTGGAAGTTGAAGAGCGAAAAGCATTGCTGAAGCAAATTTATTTGAAAAGCCAAGTAATCATTGATCAAAAATGTTTGCAGTGTCTACTGGGTTTTAATAGTTATTGAGAAGCTCTTTGTTTCTAGTCATGAGAGTAGAGATGAACTGCATTATGAGGATATCTGAAAAATTGCCTATGATTTGAGAAAGAATTACCAAATTCAAAACATATGTTCATTCATTGCAAGCTTTTTTTAAAGCTGCAGATGTATCACTTCTGTGTAGAGGGTATATCCAGGAGCAGACATCTGGGAGTTGCAGTTCAACAGCCCTCTCTGCAAGTGCCACCTTCCTGGTACCAGTCTCCAGTCTCTTACCTGGCAAAAGGGGTGTCAGATAGAAGGGGCAGGGGGGAGGATACTGAAGCGAGCGCCCATTTCCTAGTGACAGCACTTCATGTGTGGCAAAAGCTGAACCTGGAGCTCAACTTTGTACTGGGATGGGGCAGCTAAGAGTTGGAGAGCTGCTCTTGGCATTGTGCTTCTACCTTGCTACTCATCTAGTTCCTTTCATATATATATGAATATATATGTGTGTCAAATATAACATGTGCTTTAGTTAGGCATCATGGAGAATAAAGCACATCCTTTCTCTATATTTTTCCCCTGCAATGAATTGTGTGTTTAAGCTCCTCAATAGCTGAATCAGATAAATGGTGAATAAATCTGTCTTCTAGGTATCAGTGAGTGAAAATGGAAGCATGATGAAGGATTCTAGTGTGATCCTTGAAATTCCTCCTGCAACCACTATCGCCTACGGTGTAATTGAACTGTTTATAAAGCACAATGGCCAGTTTGGTAAGTATAAAGCTCATTTTCTGTGGCACACAGTTCAACTGTGGACAGAGATGTCTGTTGGGCAATGATTTTTGCATTTCCCTGCACATGGAAGTGATGATGTTGTATGGTCTCCATTGCCTTGATAGTTATTTGTGCTGTGAAATGCTGCTTTCCTGATTTAGTGTAAGGCTTGTTCAGTTGTTTGAATAAATAATAAAAAATTTAGAATAACTTAAGTTTCAGGCCCAGAAGGTTGTGTTGCCATCCAGAGGGGACTCAACAGGCTGGGCTGGTGGGAACCTCATGCAGTTCAACGGGAAGAAGAAAGTTCTGCATGTGAAGCAACCCCAGGTACCGGTGTGTGGTGGGAGCTGACTGGTTGGAAGGCTGGTTTGCAGAAAAGGACCTGGACATCCTGGTGGACACCAAGTTGGACATGAGCCAGCAATGCATCCTTGCTGCAAAGAAGGCTGCTGGTCTCCTAGGCTGCGTGAGGAGGAGTGTGCTGGCAGGTTGGGGGAGGTGATCCTTCACCTCTGCTCAGCACTGGTGAGGCCACACCTGGAGTAATGTGTCCAGTTCTGGGCTCCCCAGTTACAGGGGAGAGATGGACATACTGGAGAGAGTCCAGTGAAAGGCCAGGAAGATGATGAAGCAACTGGAGCACCTCACATTTGAGGAAAGGCTGAGAGACCTGAGAAGAGAAGGCTTAGGGGGTGATCTTATTACTGTATAGAAATACCTGAAGGACGAATTCAAAGAGGACTGAGTCAGGCTCTTTCAGTGGTGCCCAGTGACAGAACAAGAAGCAATGGCCACAGACTGAAACACAGGAGGCTCTTTCTGAACATTGGGAAATGCTTTTTCACTGTGAGGATGACTGAGGACTGGTAGAGGTTGCCCAGAAAGGTTGTGGAGTCTCCATCCTTGGAGACATGATCCTGGGCAGTCTTCTCTAGATGGCCCTGCTTGAGCAGGGAGGTTAGACTAGATGACCTTCCAACCTCAGTTGTTCTGTATTCTCCCCTCCAGTGAAAAGGATTGTGAGGAGGTTATAATCTCTGGTTCCCATGGATTAACAAATTAACTTGTTTGTTTTTCCTGTTTCACTAAGTTGTGTAAGGTGAATGAAATAGAAGTCCTGAGAGGACAGTGACAGCATAGAGAAAGAAACAGGACCAAGTGGCAGCAGTCAGTCAGTCCCCATCAGCTGCAGAAAGGTTTGCCTGTCACACTTCATCATTTCATGTAAGTGATTCCTAACCCTATGATTAGCATATTAGAAAAACAGGCTAAGTGTTATTAGTGGTGTGCTCTAGCACAATTGAAAGATATTTTTATATTATTGCATATTGCACTTTAAATATGCACTTTCATTGACTCAATTATTGTCCACACTGAGACAAAAACAGTGCCTGTTCCTAATCAGAGTACGGTGGAAACTCAGACCATTTTGTTATTTGTTCTTTACAACTCCTTGGGCACTTATGCATTATGATGAGAAAACCATTCATTTTTCTACCAAAGGTGCTACATAAGAAGTCACAGAATGTTATGAGACAGGATTGAATAAAATCAATTGTGTGTGTCTGTGACTTAAAAAATAAGGAGGATGCCAAATAGAAAATAGAGGAACTATCTGTCACTTGCATTCTTGGGGAAGGTGTTCTATGAAGTACTTGTCAGGGTATTCTGTAGGGAAAATTGTGACATGCTATCAATAAGCTGACTATAGCAGATACTGCGTTGCAGAATGACTGTAAGAAGTAGGTCAGAGAGGTTATATTTGAAATGGATTAACAAAAGAAATAGTACACACCTGTGCTTGGTGGAAAGTGTCAGCGTGAGGTCTGGTGTGTTTTACTCCATGGCACTCCGTCTAGAGGTCTTTACTGGAGAAAGAACAAAGCTGGATGAAGACCCTCACTGTGCAGCAAGCAGCATTTGTATGGAAAGCATTAACTGTTAAGCATTATAAATGAAGTGGAGACGACTGAACAAGCTGATGAGTTCTGGCTGTGCAGTGAGAGATATTTTGTAATTAGTCATGGGGATGTTATGGAAGAAGTTTCATTTGGGTGAGGCTGAGAGTGGGCCACCTGTGTCTCTGCAGCTGGGAGAGGAGGTGTCTTGAGGTGACATTTCCCTGTGCAGGGCTGAAAAGGTTTTTTCACTTGTGGGTGGTTTGGACTAGTGAAATCTTGTGCAGGCAGGCAACAGTGCTGACTTCAGTGTGAGGATGGAGAGTACTCAGAGCAGTAACCATTCTTTTTGGTATTCCTGGTAAATTGGCAGGTACCTTGCTTTGAGAATTTGTAGGCTTGGGTTACTGAGAAGACTGGAGAGGATTTGATGGAAATATGGTCCTAGCCCCCCTCCTTTGTGGACAGTCCAGTTGGGGATTCTGCACCTTAAGAACAGACATTCAGTCTCAGCTGTGGGGTTTGGAGTTGGCTCCTGCTCTCTCCCTTCTTTTCTCTACTGCTTTCCTCATGCAAGAAGAAAAAGGTTGAATAAAAATGAGGGAAGCCTTCGCATTACCGGAGAGTGGGAGTGTTTAATCCAACTTAATGTGTAGAGAGCGAAACCAAAACTCAGATTCATTTCTACTCATATTTGACCTGTAGAGCTCCCAGCATAGTAAATCATTGACCTCAGGAAGGTTATTTACACAGAACAAACAACCAAACAAAGCCCCACATCTTTTAAGTGATCTTTATTTATACAGACTCATACCCTGCGTGTTGATAATGGGACTTAGCAAAGCAGCATCTCATTGTATTATACATAGTGTTTGTTACTCTTGAGTACTTCAGCTCGGATTGTCACGGTGGGAAGGAGTAGTGTGACGTAGTGCGGGTCACACAAGATTGATGAGGGCTCTTGTACAATAGATGGTGAAAGAGATGGTGAGAGTGATAGCTGTAGAACAGGAGGAAAAGCTCTGAAACTATACCTGTAAAATCCTAAAAAATAATAATAAAGAAAATACAGTGCAATTCATGTGTCTGCATGCAATCTCAGGGATTTAGCTCCCTTCGTTCAGACATCTTCTTGATATTCAGAGTGTTACACTAGCAAATGCTCTTGCAAAAATACAGTCACAAATTCAGCAGCCATTGCCCTGCAATACTTTAAGCCCTGCTTTGATTGTCAGACTTTAACCCTGTTGCATTTTGCTTTTGATAGCTGCTTTCAGTGATAATTTAGATAAGGTGGGTATTTGCTTACCTCATGTTGTCTCCTGTTTGAATCGCTGGAATAGCAGAATGTTTTGCCTTCCCCAGACTGTGCCCCACTGATAACCTGGGATGTGTCTACACGCAACCCTAGAGTCTAAGGGGTTTTATGATGGATAATTCAGTGCCAAAAGTCTAGAGGAGAGGATTTAACTGTGTTGTCTTGAAAGAAGAGGTATTTGTGACTGTTAATAAGGGTATGTGTTACAAAGCTCTGAATCTGGTGGGATTTACTCACCAAACTTCATGGGAAGAGAAGAGCATTTCTGCCAGCCTTACAGCTGAACGTGTCCCACTGAAGTCACTCAAGTCGTGATGCTGAGGCCATGGCCATGTCTCTGCCACACAGGTCCCCAGGCTGGCTCCAAGGCAGGGTGCTGGTGGCAGCGCTGCTTCAGGGACCGAAGCTGGTGGCTCTGTGTCCCCATGGTGGTGGTGGTGTCGCTCTGTAGCCTCTGGGCTGGGGCAGCTCATCCAATGCTGTCTCAGAAATTTCTTCACTGCACTTCTTTGCATGTTTACCTGTATCTTTCTCGGTCTGCTGGTAGTTCTGCATCTGAACCTCAAAGCCAAGAGCATGAGGGGGTCTGAACCAGTACCCCCTCAGGCAGAACATGGCAAGAGTAGATGGAAGAAAAAGTCTCTTTATTTCGGTCATTCATTTGTATAGAGTTAAATCATGCTCTGTGTGCTTCTTATGTTAACGCTCATTTAGAAATAGCAAATCTCTATTTAATCTGCATTTTTCTACCTTTGATTGTTTTGTTTCTTTTGCTCTGGCTTATGGGGATATCTGGAGAGTTTGTCATCCTCTAAAGCAGGCAAAAAATACATCGTGTGAAAGCAAATGACAAATTGCTTTTGTACTTCTTCATTGTATTTTTTCCCCTGTGGCTGCTTAGGTCGAATGTTAAAATTGCAAGTTCTTAGTGCATTAATTTGTATTTTCAAGATGCTTAGCACACCTCTTCAGAATCATAAATAATTATTGTGAAGTATGTGATGTGCTTGATGGTCTGTTATTGTAGTAACTAATAGCTGTGGTTTGGCAGACACTTCTGAGAGCAGTGGTGTTTGGGATTGTTTGACATTTCTTCACTTTTTCCTTAATCCAAAGATTCATTGTGTTCCAAGCATAAAGCATGGTTTTGCACCAAAAAAAAAAAAAGTTATATTAATAATCTGAGGAATGTTTGGGGGTACTTTTCCAGTGGCTGCTGCATTGCTTCGGAGGTATTTTTCTTTCCCTTGTTTAAGCAATCAACTTTAAGGTTTTCAGACAGTCCATTCCAACTGATTGAACTTTAAGCATGTAACTCTCCAAAGATCAAAAATTGCCTCAGGATATTTTTAATTTAATAAAGAAGCAAGCTGACTTCAGACTTACACAGACCGCATAAATCCAAACCCCCAGAATCTAATAAATCTAAAACTTTTTAATTAAAAGTGGAGATATCTTGATTTAAATAAAGCGGAGTCAGACGTGTCTTTCTGTCATATTTTTGGGGAATTGCCATTTAGCCCCATGAATAGCCATTTACAGTAAAAAGGAGGAAAGACTGAATAACTTGAGCCAGGGATAGCAGTCTTTTAATCTTCCAACTGTCTTGCTAGAGATATCTCTTCATAGAAAATATGACATCTCATCTGAGAACCTCCAGTGAGTATTTTGCAAAAAGTATAATGTAATTGACACCTTATAATCAATTAAATGCAGTTAAGTTGCTTTAACCATTGCCAGTAAGTCTGTTAGCACCTTGAAGACAAGGTAGTGAATTT